AAATTGAAGTACTTTTAAGTTTTCTTTTTAAAAATTGAAACAATAAAGAATTGGCATATTCTGGCAAAGTCATAGCACCTATGTGCTTAAGGAATTTCGGTAATAGTGTCTGAGGACTCAGCATAAAATACAGAATCACAGCAAGTGTGCTGCTGAATGAGCAATAAACCCACCTAACATGGGCTCTCTGCTTCATAATTTTTTTTCTCTGAACAAGAGATATCTTCACCATGTGATAGACAAGCAGTAAAAACTTCCACCATTTCCAAGTGTGAGATTTAGATTTGAACAGTTACAGATCCAGGCATAGATTTGGCTATTGTGACCTACATCTATAGCTCTTGAAAGCCAATACTCTCTGAGCAGAACCAATTTTCTCACTTGTATAAATGGAACTGCTCTGAAACATACATGTATGTGACACAGAAGAGAAATAGGTCAATGAAAAGTACCTACTCATAGGCACATAGATGACTGTCTCTTTCAGTTTCATTTTCAGTTGTTCAAACCCCTGGAAAATTAGGAGAGAAGTTGAGGGGGGAGAGGTAAAATAGAAAGGAAGTGAGAATGATAGATTAAGTCACCTCCAGAATTGTGTGAGAGCTGAGCAAAGCAGGACTGTGTATAGTACAGGCTTATAGTTTTTATGAATGAACTATCTGGGGTCGAGGATTTAGCTCAGTGGTTCTGCCACCTGTCTTGCAAGTGCAAGGACCCAAGTTTGATACCAGGTAACAACAATAAAAGGAAAGAAACAAACAAAATTATGCAAGAGATCAAAAAAATGAGGGTTGATTAGAAAGTATATGAAAACGAGGAAGTAAATATTTTATCTTAAGAGTTTCACATATTGGTTTTGAGTCTCATTTTTAACTCAAACAAACTGGTCTTTCTCTTACTTCATCATGTCTCAAAAATAAGCAAAGAGGGAAGAGGAGAGAAAGAGGGAAAGGAGGAAGAAGAACATAGAAGAGAAGGAGAGATGGAGAAAAAATAGAGTGAAACAAAAAGAAGAAAGAAGGCAGAGTCTTTTCAATGCTTCATAACATTTATTGCTCACACATCAGATTACCTTGAAGATATCAAAAAGGTACTGTCCATTTATTCTCTGGATATTGAAAGATGCAGGGAAAAAATACACCCACAGGTGAGACAATGGGCAAGAATCTCCCACACAGAGGTATTATCTCCTGATAGATTCACCAGTGTGTGTTTTCTGACCTTACCAGGGCTGCTGGTACAGTGATTTTATGATAACTATTAGCAGTCTCAGTGGACCCGAGAGTCATATATTCAAAGCTCCTCACTAACCACAGGGTGCAGGGGCATCTATGCTCCAAGGCAGCTCAAACCTTCAATGCACACAGTGCCATCAGTGATGTCCTGACCCTGAGCACTAATGCATGTCTCATTCTCATCCTACCATTTTTTCACCTTACCTCTCTCTGGGAGGGCTCAGTCAGGGATCCCACAGTCTGTCCTCAAGGGGTTCAAGGGCTCTTCTGAAACAACACCCCAGTTATTATGGTAACTAAAGCATTAGAGGACCACAGCCCGGGGGACCACAGATAGATTCACGCTTTAGGGGATCAAATCCAAAGGGGCACATTTAGAAGTGCTTCTCTTTTTGAAATGAAAGTCCCTTCATTAATGATGCTGGAGCTGTCCCAGCACAGATGTGATGAAGAAAGATAATTTATTGGCTACCAGGTGAACTTTTCAGGGATGAACTGGAAAACAGACATCAAAATACACTTGCTGGGTGTGTTGTCACATGCCTGCAATCCCAGGACTCAGCGGGTGAGGCATGAATATAACCCTGATTTCAAACATAGGGAGAGCCTTCACTCCATAGTAGAAGCTGGTCTAAAAGCATTCTCAGTGCAGTGACAAAAACCAAACAACAAAAACAAACAAAATAAAAATGAACCATAAACAACTCACCAGCATTGTGTATACAGAAACCCTGTAACATTTCTTAAATCAAAAATTAGTTCAAATTTAAATTTTAAAACTTGAAAAAAATGTTGATGCTGCCTGCCTTGCAAGCACAAGATCCCAAGTTCAATCTCTGTTACCAAAAAAATAGGTAGGCAGCAGAACCACTGAGCTAAATCCCCAGCCCCAGAAATAGAAAAGAAAAGAAAACCTGGAAAAAAACCCAAAACCAAAAAATGAA